GTTTTTTTTTTTTTTTTTTTTTTTTTTTTGGCTTCTTTGGGGCATTGGTTCCCCTCTGCTCCCCCCCAAGTGTGTGCCCTCCTGTGGCAACTGCACGCAGAGTTAGGGCTGCCAACTCGACTGCACCAGCTGTAAATTGGAGGGCACGTGTAGGATCTTGCCATTTGGGAAATAAAAAATTCCCACAAGGAGCAGTCTCTGAACAGCTGCTTTCCAAAGGGAAAATGAGAGAGAGGAAAAAAAAGAAAAAAATTTAGACTTTGGAAATCTGTGTGGTTTTGTGAACGTCCCTAGCCGCATTCTGAGAGTGACAGGCACCAAAGGCACCATCCCTTGAGGTGGTCATTTTTCTCTGCAGGTTCCTGCACTGTTATTTCATGGTCAAAATTAAGTCCCTGGGGAGATCCAGAACCTCCCTCTGCTCCCTCCCTCTTCCCCCCGCCTTCCTCTCCTTCCCTCTCTCCCTTCCTCTCCACCCCCCTCCTGTGGCATTCCCGGGTGGTTTGGGGACCCCATGGCAGAGGATCAGTACCTGAGTGCCTGTCACCTCTGCTCCAGCCTCTTGGTCCTCAGCCGCCCGCAGAAACCACCACTGGATTTCGAGGTACACCGAAGCGGAGCCGCTTTGGAAAGCACAAGACATCTCCACATTCTGCCCTTCAGTGGCCGTGACATTTCGGGGAAACTCAGTGAATTTTGCTGCAAAACAAATGCGTAACGCATTGAGATCTCCTGTTGCCTACTCATTGTTTATTCTCTGCTTTTTGTGTTGCCTTTCTCCTTCTGTCTCTCTCTTTTTTTTGCTTTTAAATTAATTTATCTGTTTTCTTTTCCTCATTCCCCCTCTTTTCTGATTTTCCAGTTTTCCACACGTTACCTCCCCTGGTCTCTCTCACACCCAAGTATGCCTTTCCTCCCTTATGCACATAGCCACCTCCTTTACACTCTAAGCCCTGCTCATGGGAAATGCTATAGACCCCCCCTGCTTGCTCCCGTGGGCTAGTAAAGTTTCATGTGATTAGGTCCAAATACCCTTGGGCAGAATGCAGTATTTCACCAGACTCACCGAGGGCTTTTGTGTAAGACCAGTTTGGAAGAGGAAAAAAAACCCAGACTGATTTATTGTATTTCGTAGGGCTGAGCTGGAGACGTGTGAATTGTTAAACCTTCCACAGCCGGCTGGAGTGGCTCTTGGAAGAGGCACTCTTCTGAGGTGCGGGTTACAACCACTCATCAAAATGCCCATTTCAAAGGCTTTACCTGAGTTAGTTACTCTTTCTGAGAACCTCTGCTTGCATAATCGGACCAAGCAGCAATACATCTTCTGTTTCTCAGTCCTGGCAGACACTTTCTAGAACTAACCTTCACCTTTGTATCCCAGTCCTTTAACAAACAGGATCTGCCCATTTCAGTGTCCCACTGCTAGATTTAAAAACTAATCCTGATGGACACAGTCCAGGGCACCAGTACTTCTTTAAGTCTCAGTCTTTACTTCCTTCTCACCCTCTCCTGTAACTCACTTTAAAATTCTGCAAGATAATGAAACATGATAGTCAAGTGAGGGGGACTACAGACAAACCGTAATAAATAAAACCTGTGTTTCAAGAAGAGGAAAATTGGAAAGACCCTGCAATGTTGCTTTCTGTTATGCATTGTTACAGATTGACTGGAGCATATTATGATGCGAAGGAAATATTGCTCGTTGTCTCCTCCCCTCTTCCTCTCTCTTTATCCAGTCTTCCTAGCTAACCTGGAATTGGTGGGATAATTTAACACTCAACCAGTGTTACTTCTTTTTCCCCCTACGTTTGTGCTTGGCAACAGATACTTAGCAAAGCTACTAGCTTTATATTTCACGGTGTCCCGTTTTCTGCCCCCCCGCCCCCAGCAGTCAGCGATTGCTAGTCACCAGGTTAAACTGACAAAAAGACCGTGCATTTTGTGTATTCGGGGCTTGTAAGTTTGTTTTGGTTTTTTTGTTCGTTCGTTCGTTCTCTCCCCTCCTGGTCAGTGCGTGTG